ATCCCAGGCCAGGGGGGTGACCCACATGACGTGGCAGGCCTCTCCTGACCTGACACTACTCCCCTCAGCAGTGTATTTTACTCCATCTGCCTGTTCTGCTCCCCACTCTGTCTCTGGTGAATCCTCTCACCCCCTGTACCTCTGGCCTGTATCCCCATTCTGTATGCATAAATAAATAAATCTTTAAGTAAAAAAAAACCAAAAAGATAAGAAAGAAGATTAAAAAGAGAACAAAGCCCCCCTGTGGTGGAACTTTTAGGATCTATTCTCTTAGCCACTTAACTGCAATTTCTTACAGCAGTGTTAGCCTTTGTCATCCCAAGGGATGCTGCATTTTTAGGACTGACTTATCTTAGAACTGTAATTGTGTACTTTTAACCACCTTCCTCCAATTTTCCTGCCCCTATCTTCTGGCCACAACTCTTAGCTCTTTTTTCATGAAATTTTGAAAAATATTTCACAAGCTAGTAAAGTCAGTATTCGTCTTTTATTTATTTCACTTAGCATAATGCCTTGGTTTATTCGTGTTATTTCAAGTGTTATGATTTTCTCGTTTGTTTTTTTTTTAAGATTTATTTATTTATGCATACAGAACTGGGGTGCAGGCCAGAGGTGGTGAGAGGATTCACCAGAGACAAAGTGGGATGTAGAACAAGCCGAATGTCAAAGTACACTGCTGAGGAAGCAGCGGGCAGGTCAGGGGAGGTCTGCTGAGCCATGTGGGTCACCTCCAGGGCAGGGATCGAACTCATACTGAAGTGGCTTTAGCTTCTTAGTGCTGTGCTTTAACCCGCTGTGCCACCAGGGAAGGCCCAATTTTTTTGTTTTTAATGAATGAATAATAGTCCATATCTATTTACCTGTCTGTCTGTCTATCTACCTATCTATTTCTGTAATTTGATCATAGATAATATATCTTCTGAATCCATTCATACATGGGTGGACAGTTAGGTTCTTTCCATGTCTTGGTTATTGTAAATAACACTGCTATAAACATTGGGGATGCAAATATCTTTTGAATTAGTGTTCTGTGTCCTTTGGCTATTTTCCCAGAAGTGGGATCATATGGTAGTTAAAGTTTTAGTTTTTTAAGAATCCTCTGTACTGTTCTCCATAGTAACGGAACTTGATCATTATTCTTAATTACTTTGATGTTAGTAGGGGTGCACTATTCATTTTTTTCAGAATATACCTTTGTCATTTGAATTATACCTTTAATTATGCATTGTGCTAATAACAAAAAAAAATAATGAAACTAAAGCTATGGACATTGACTTATGGTGAGTATAATGCCACCGTCATGAAGAAGAAAATCTCAAGGGAAGGAGTTTTGGAGGTTTGGGGCTGTGTTACCTACATTCAGATAATATGCCTGCCATTTGCTAAGGGACCGTGGACAGCTCCTAAGTCCATTTCAGTCTCATTGGAACAGAACACTCTTCATAGAATAGTGGTTCTCAGTCCTAGCTATACATTGGAATTATCTGGGTGAAGAGCTTGAAAAAACATTGAGGCATAGTTTCTAGTTCAGAGCAGAAATTCAGGGTTTGGGAAGTGGTAGCAATTTTTGTTAAATACTGCACAAGGTACAATGAAAACTGTAAGACACTTTTGAAAGAAATTGCATGGAGAGACAGTCCACAATCATGGGTCAAGAATTAACATTGTTAAAAATGATCATTTTACCTAAAAAAAAAAAATATGTAGATTCATTGCAGTTCCTATCAAGATTCCAATGGTAATTTTCTCAGAATAGAACAAAGAAATCCTAAAAGAATGGAACAACCAAAGACCTCAAATAGCCTCAGCAGTCCTGATGGAATAAAAATGAAGCTGTCATACTTCCTGGTTTCAAAAATACAACAAAGCTACAGTAATCAGAGCAGTATGGTACCAGAATAAAAACACACATGAATAAATAGAAAAGAATTAGGAGTCCAGAAGTAAACTCACATATAGATGGACAACTATGACAAAGGTGTAAGTGTTTACAATAGTGTTGGGTAACTTGGACAGCTACATGCAAAAGAATGAAACTTGACCATCATCTTATACAATATACCAAATTAAGTGAAAATGGAATGAAGACTTGATGTAAAACATAAAACTTTAAATTACCTAGACAAAAACATAAGTAGTAAGCTATTTAATACCAGTCTTAGAGTTGTCTTTTGTGTATTCATCTGCAATGGCAAGGGAAAAAAAGTAAAAATAAGCAAATAGGACTATATCAAATTATAAACTGCTCAATGAAAGGAGCTAACATCAAAACAAAAAGGCAGCCTACTGAATTGAAGAAGACTTTTGTAATCATATATCCAGCAGAGGGTTAATATCCAAAATATAGACAAATCATTTAACTCAACCACAAAAACAAATGACTCTAATAAATGGGCAGAGGAGCTAAATAGGCATTTTACCAAAGAAGACATACAGATGGTCAACAGACACATGAAAATATGTGCATCATTACTTATTAGGGAAATGCAAATCACAACCACAGTGAGGTATTACCATATACCACTAAATATTGTCTATCATGAAAAGTGTTAATAAATGCTAGGGAGGACCTGAAGAAAAGGGAATTCTTATGTACATTTGGTGGGTATGTAAAGTTGTGTGGTTACTATGGAAAACAGCATGGACATTTCTGAGGAAAAAAATAAAGAATAAAAGTACCACATGATCCACTGATTCTACTCTTGGGCTTTATTCAAAGAATGCAAAATTATTCATTTCAAAAGATGTGTGGGTCCTTATATTTATTGCAGCACTATCACAGCAGTCAAGATATGGAAACAACCTGACTCCATCCATGAATGAACAGATAAGGAAGTTATATATACACAGTGGAATACCACTCTGCTATAAAAAAGACAAAATCTTGTCACTGGTGATAATATATATAAAAGGTATTATGCTATGCAAAATGAGTCAGATGGTAAAAGAAAAAAATTCTGTATGATTCCATACAGATATGAAAAAATAAAACAAGACAAAGCAAAACAAAAGCAAACCCTTAGACTCTGACAGCAGAATGGTGGTTACCAGAGTAGAAAAGGGATGGGGGGCAGGCAAATGGGTAAAGGGTCAATTGCATGGTAGTGAATAGAGACTAGACTTTCACTGGTGATCACAAAGTGGTATATACAGATTTGAAATACAAACCTGTATGCCTGAAAAAGTAAAAGAAAGAAAGGAAGGGAGGAAGGCACCAAGGAGGGAAGGAAGGACAGAAACTGCACAGGGGTTCTGATTTGCAAGGCTGAAATAGACACTTTTGGGGAGGTGAGGCCCGACCTTCCCAGGTGCCATATTCCTCATCTAGAGAATCCTAATTGGTGAATTGGAGGAAATGGGGCTGTGGGATTTTTGGTGATTCTGATAAATTGGAAGACGGCAGAGATGACAATTGGGGTCAATTTAGAATTAGACCCTGGGAGTGGGGAGAGCTGTAGAGAGGCAATATGTTTTCTCTTAGAGCTTCAAGTGGGTGTATGGGTTTGGTCTGAACCCTCTAACTCCAACACACACACACACATACACACAAACCTCTCTTGGTTTTAGACCAAACCTGGTTAGATCTTTTTAGGATTGGATTAGAATTTCACATATTCCAGGAGGCTTCCAAGTTCATCTTCCTGTGAGAGGGACCTCATCAGTCTGTTTTCCTCAATATGCTCTAAAGTCAGTGAAGTCTTAACTGAAGTCAGAGAAAGGCTGTACACACAGTTATGAAATCCATCTCTGCCACCTCAATGCTGTGCAATCTCGGGAAAGTTCTATGCCTTTTCTAAGCAGCAGTTTTCTTGTTTGAAAACCAGGACAATGATAATCCTTCTTAGCTCAGAGAATTTTATTTTATTTTATTTTTTAAAAAAGATTTATTTATTTGTGCATACAGAACTGGGGTACAGGCCAGAGACTCAGGGGTGGCGAAAGACTTCACCAGAGACAGAGTGGGGAGCAGAACAGGCAGATCTATGAAGTACACTGCTGAGGGGAGCAGCGGGCGGGTCA